TGTTCAAGCCGCATGTGAGTTGTTTTTTTTTTTTTTTTTTTTTCTTCTCGCTGCCTCCTGGGGAGCCAGTGGAGTGGAATCAGGTTGATGGAGAGTACGTCATGTAGCATGTAGCCATCTGTTAGCCCGTAGGCAGCTCCGTCCACCTCCAAGGATTCAGAGTTAGAATGTGACACAAATGCACAGCACTTAGTAGGTATTAGCTCTTAGCATCGTGTTGTGTAGGTGTGACTGAACACACCTGAGAGTCGAGTGAGTCTGTGTGTGTGTCTGTGTGTGTGTAAACAGTTGTCGTGGAGACACAGTGTCTCTGTGGGGACGTGTCTGACTCAGTGAGAGTTTGAAATCGGACACGTTACTCTACTTTTCTGCAAAATGAATAGACAGTAGTTCAGTGTTTTTCAACCGTGGGTTCGCGACGCCATGTGGGGTCGCTGGGAATTCAAATTGAGTCGCAACTGAATTTCACGGGCGGTATTGGCTTAGTGGTTAAGGACGGTTTGAGAAGGATTGAGTCCACCAGCTGATGGGTTAAAACGCAGAGGTTAAAAACTAAACATCAAATGATAATGTTAGACTAATATTTTTTGTGTCTGGTCATCGACCTGTCCAGAAAAATCTTTTTTTTTTTTCCTCAGTTCTCTTTAAAGTTGGGCTGATACTACACTCACACACACACACACACAGAGCTGATGAAAACCAGCTCGTGAGCCCTGACTCTTTGTGTACGTGTCTACTTCTTACTTTCCGTCTTCTGGTTGTGTTTGTGCAGGACAGACTCGGCGATGACGTGTGAGATGGAGCATCAAGGAAAAAGAACGAGACACGAATGAAGACGCAGCTTCATCTGTAACGCACAGGAAACAGATGGAGCGTGCGGCTCCGGGCCGACCTCGTGGTCACAAACGCGGAGGTGAGACGTGATCTTCTTACAACGTCATATAATGAGTCTGTTTACAGTTGTGTTTTTGACGCACACCACGGTCAGTGCATGAAGCACAATCTTTTGTCAAAATGTAAGTAGAATTTTAACAAAACAAAATGTACTCACGATTTTTAAGGCTCTAAGAAAATGGAACCAAATGAAAACTCTTTTCCTGATGTAAGTTTTCAGATCAGGACTTCGACAGTATTTATAGCCTTGGAGCTGTAATTTCATGGATGTGTCTCTCGTAGCAGCAGTAATCAGCCAAACTCATTATATCATTATATACTGTATATATTACATCTATATATAAGACCCAGGTGTGGGAAACATGTGGCCTCCAGCAGGAGACGCTCCAACAGTCTGATGTGAAAAGTGAGACCATGGTTTTAGGTTTTTTCGATGCCTGGTGTCGTCTCCGTCTGTGAGGGTTTGTTGAAGATGATCGTCCTGATGATCTTTACGTCACGGACGTCCTGTAGGGGGCGTCTTCTCTGACTTCATCTGACTGCCGCTCCACAGCCGACTGCTCTCTTTCAGCCGACTCTCCCGTCACATCAGTTCACCTCTCATCATCTTCAGACCTCTCTTCTGGTGTGAATTCTGTCTTTCCACAGCTTCAACACACACACACACACACACACACACACACACGATGCCGGTGTGTAACATGAATCTGACGTCCAGTCCCTGTTTCTGTTCTTACAGTAAATTGATTTTTTCTTATTTTAAGCAGAAAGGTTCATTTCAAGGATAAAGATCCTCTGTACTGTACACAGCAAATATAAACAAACCCAAAAAAAAAAAAAAAAAACTTCCCAAAAGACCACGCTGGTGTGTATTGAGTATCACCGCGTACTGGAATCAGGATACATCTGGAGGACGTCGGCACAGAGACACCTCTGCAAACTGGATCAAACTGCTTTATATAAAAATGAAAACGACCTTTTGACCTTTTGAGATTTGGTTTCACTCCCTGAGCTTCACTCCGGTCACGTGTCCACTCAGCTTCATCTCCATATCTGCTGCCCACCCGTGGTTTAATTTTAAAGCCTTGCCCAGATACATTTCCTCCTTCCACAAACTCACGTTACTGCTGCCATTGATTTTCAACTTGTGATTTCATTCATTCCCAATTTAAGCTCCGGTGACATCAGAAACCCAGTCTGACCCTCCGTCGTCTCGAAATACACACCTTGTGTTTTTTCTCTTGTTGCCTGAACGTTCACCTCAACGATGTCCTTGTTATGGTCCTGGCTGCAGCAGCGTAGAGGGCACGCCGCTGGTCCACGGAGGCGGCGGTCCGGGGTGACAGTGGGGTAATTTATTATTAGTTGATGTTGTACAAGAATATTATCAACTGAACAGAAATTGCAATCATTTAAATAAGATTGTATTCAGCTTTGGAGCTATAGTTATAAAAAGTGGGGGTTGGGGGTCAGGCCGGGTGCGATAATAGACCGGTGCGGTCCATCAACACTTGAGAATGTGATATATTGGTGTCTCATGTGAACAGAAAAACAACTGAAAAATGATAGGTTCACCTGGAGACCACAGGCTGATTGATTCTTATTTTTTTTTATTTTTGTTTTTGTTTGTTTTTTATCTTCAAACAGGCGTCTCTCTCTCTCTGTCTGTCAGTCTTTAATGCAGATGAAGACGGTGCCGACCATCAGTGCCATCGCCCGTCTTTCCTCATCAAACGTAGGCCGTTAATCTGAGGCGATCCAGTGGAACCAGACTGGAAACACGACTGGGTCTGGGCCAGAATGGTGACAACCCCGATCGGTCACACCTGTCCAACATTTCTGCTGCCATTTCCACAGGAAAATATTCCCGTAGAATTCTATGACCTGATGCCACTTTGTTCTGCTGCTTTGAAGCAGGAAAGAGAGTCTACAGACTGACAGGTACAGACCACCCAGATCAGACTGAGTCTTCACCACAGACCACTGATGTTTCTGGGCTGTAAAAAAATAGCCATAAGTGTACCATTACCTGCTGTGATGCTTGAATGATAACGAGCCTCCAGCCACTAGGTGGCAGCATCTCATACAGTGGTGTGTACAGATAAAAAACACACTTTGTTATCAGGTTCTCAATAGTATTTTGAGTCATGGGGGTGTGCGTCATAGGGGATGTGGAGGGTGAAAACATTTCTATCCACAAGGGGGGGCATGACAGAGAATAATTAAGAACCACTGGTTTATACAGACTAGAAAAATGGAAACAAGTGAGAGATACTGTATTCCTCTACATAACATGTACTTTTCAGGTTTTTCAAACGTCTTCTCAGATCAGGACTTTTTTTTTTGTCAGATGATTTGAATATTCATTCATGACCCAAACCAGAATATTATTCCTGAGGTAGTGCAGTGCAGTGTTGGTGTTGGTGTAATGTGTTTTTGTACTGCACTCCAGCGTCTCTTCACCTCGTGGGTAGTTAACTCGCTGTAAGTAGGTCAACAGTATCAGCAGTTTGGAGGTATTTTAACATCGGGGACAAAGACGGAAGCGAGACCAATGCCATTTGTTCTGTTACGATACGATCAGTTTAACTAAACACGAGAACACGGGACGTGTTGTTGGATATGCTAATGTCTCTTTAGCAACACGGTCGACGGAAGTGACTTTTTTCATTTGTTGATATGTTTATTAAGACATGAAAATGTCTCCATGTGTGGACAGCAGCAGACGGTGTTTTCAGTTGAAATGTCCTGTTGCCGCTCACTTCCTGTTCAGCTGGCAGTGTTAGCTGTGCAGAAAGTGTAACTGTCTCTGTCTTATTATCTTTCAGCTCCATCAGTGGTATCGTCCTGTCAGTTGTGGTCAATATTGTACACCTTGGGTCCATCATATCTAAGAACAGCTGCCTTGACGCTACACTGAACACAAGGATCTTCACAATCACTAGCAGCCTTCACCTTCGGGCAGCTAACGGTCACCTGACCCTGAAGCCAGAGGTGCTCGTTTTCCAAGCTACGCTGTCTACGTGACGTCCTAGCCATGAGATGACAGAATGAGGTCCGCAAAACAGATGTTTAGAAACACTGTGCAAGCTCACCAGCCTGTGCGTCAGAGGACGCCGATGGTCTGGTCATGTTTCCAAACGTGACGGTACCTGGTGTGAGTGAGTAAAAATACTCATACGGCTTATATAAAACATGGGCTCCATTAGTTCAGTTTCACATGGAGTTGAGGATGAATGTTCTCATTGGACACAGACCAGTTACTTCTATACAATTAAACCAATAAATGACTCAGGGCCTCAGATGGTCGACAGCCATTCGACTTATTTGCAATTAAGAAGCCTTGTATGTGTTGACAAACTCTTACGCTCTGGTGCACAGAGGAGAAGACACTGAGGCAACACAACAGCCAGAGGACAGAGAGGATGGTCACGTGTCTCTCTCTCTCTCCCACTCTCTCTCTCCCTCTCTCTCTCTACGGTTGTAGTCAAACAGCGAATCACGGAATCGCGTGTTGCGGAGAATTCCGAGGGGCGCGGTGCGAGCGCACAAGTAGTCCGGCGTTGACAGGGATTGGGTGGAGGAGGTGGAGGTGGAGGCTGGTCGTGGACGCGGGCTCAGGATTGGTGGAGTCCACCGACAAACTTGTTGACTCCTCTTATCTGAGCAACTCTTCTGGCTCCACGGCGCGGAGCTGTCCAGGGTCAGTGGTGCTGAAACTGCCGCCATTCAAACTGACCCGCTGGGAATAATCCCGTCCCGTTCCCGTGTCCGTTGAACTCGCGTGCTTCTCAAAGTTACACCCAAACGTTCCGCTCTCCGTGACGTCTCTCTCGAACGTCAATTGACGGAATTTCCATCCGCTGTCACAGCTTCCCACCCGCGGAGCTCAAACTCAGAGCCTTCAACTTCAGTAGTCCGTCATAGGAGAGGACTCCGTCCCGGTTCTAAAGGTGCAGCCATGGCTTTCATGGTAAAACACGTGGTTGGAGGACAGCTGAAGAACCTGACGGGAGGACTGACGGAGGAGAAGCCCGAAGCGGAGAAGTCGGACGCCGGAGCGAAGGGCATGACTCAAGAGGAGTTTGAACAGTATCAGCAGCAACTGGAGGAAGAGAAGTAAGAGTTTTTAATGACAATCTACAGTTTTCAGTGTTTGGAAAGTGACACATTTAACAGTGTGTGTGTATTTGTTTGTGTGTGTTTGTGTGTGTGTATTTCCCCGTGCGCTTTTTACGCACCACTGCTGTAACACGGTCGCTCCACACACAGCTGCTGCTCTCCCCCTTAGAGAACTCCCTGTCTCCCCCCTTTTTAATGAGCAAACGGACTCAGTTGTGAAGCAGAATTTTTATTATTAATATTATTATTATTATTGAATTTCCAGCCTGTGTTTTTAAAGGATTCTCCTCAGGGATTCATGTCCTCAGTTCAGATGTGGTGAAGAAAAAAAAACAGTCACAGAATTATGAACCGACATTTATGTTTCTGTCTTTAGTGACGTCATCAGATTTCATCATTCACATCTAATGCGTGTTTAATTTAAATTTTAAGAGTTGGTTCAGTGAGGAATGTGAGGTGTTACAGTGATTTACATGTGAAATCTGTCGGTTTTCTTTTTCAAACCTGTCATTTTTTTTTGTCATTTTCTTGGGCAGCAAAACTCTCACTTATTGGAATGGTTTATATATATTTTTTAATTGGAAAAACATTCTTTACATTTTTAAAGAAAACAACAGCAACAACAAAAAACAAGGTCACTTGAAAAATGTTTCTCCTCGTGGACAAGGATTCGTCTTCAGTTCACTGACATCATCATTAGACTTTCTCATATTTTATTTTATTTTCCACATTAAAATCCCTGGGATTACCTTCACACGGGGTTTTTAAAACGACGTAGGAGGAGAATTCCGTCCTCCGTCAGTATTAACATGAGTTCCAGCCCCTCAGCTCCACGGGAGGCCTGGAGATGGACTTAACGGTCTGCTGTCACCACGTGACCTTCAGTGGAAGTGAGTTATTAGTCAAAGGTGCCAAATGTGGCCGTAGATCAGAGAAAAGCCCAGATTAAAGCAGAATAAGGATGAGGGAAGGGAGGGGGGAGTGAAGGGGAGAATGTGTTACATGTGGGATTTTATTTATCACCCCCAGCTCTGGGGCATCAGTGACAACCCTGGTCATCTAATGCCCTTGAGATGAAGAAGATTCCAATCCCAGCTCGTGACTGTGTTTGTCAGTGCAGAATTCTCATGTTTTAAACAAATGAACTCACAGTCACACATGGACCAGAATGCATTTCAGATGAAGTGACCTTGTCTCCTGACTCCGGGTGAAACCGCGTCATACAGTCAACATGCAAATAACGCTGATGCTGGTTCCATGCACGTCAGTGCGCTCTCTCTCTCTCTCTCTCTCGCATGCGCCCGCGCGCGCGAAAGAAAGAAAGAGAGAGAGAGAGACCTTAGATTTCTGGTTGACCAATTATACAATTTCACATCTGTCTCTGATGCTGCCTCTTGACCATGTCATCGTTATAAATACATGTTCAGGTGATTTAATTAATAATAAATGTTATTTATTAATATTGTAGTACATGAGGTTCAGGCATTGAAGCAAATGTAACAATTATTTAAATAACTATAAATAACTCCGAAGAAGATAATAATACTCCGGTGACGTCGAGTGGAGAGGGAGCGGAGCCAACGGCGTCCTGACTGCCCTCTGCTGGTGAGAGAACATACTGTTTGTACGTTGACCAGAGGCACTTGTTTGCGCGCGTGATTTTGGTACAGCTGTGTTTGTGGGACACTTCTTAAAAAGTGTAGTGCCCCCTAGCGATTTAGTCCGAGGATCAGGTCTGTTCCAACCTCAGAGGAGGGACTTTTTTTTTTACAGCTTAATGGTATTTTGAGTTGAGAATTTGCAGGATTGAAGCTGTGACAGCTGTGTAAGGAGCAGTGACTCTGCAGATGGTGCTCCCCCCTCAGGCAGAAACCAGAAGGTCTGAAACCTTCAGAAAGGTCCTGGACTCACAGAGAGTTCTACATATGGGGCTCCAGGACCGCGGTGGAACCTTTTTGCCATCTACTGTCTAGTTAGTAGAACACACAGAGATGTTTGGACTCTGGTTAGAAACAAATACACCTCTAAAATTTCTTTTTTTTTGAAGTGGAGGTCGGTGACATTTTAGATCTCAGCCAAGGTGAACTGAGAAAAACCATGTGGTAAAAAAACTTTGATTTTTTTCCCCCTTCCTGCAGACAAGAACGAGAAGCTCATTTTGCCCAGAAGAAAGCTGAGAGAGCAACAGTGAGAACACATTTTCGGGAGAAGTACAGATTACCAAAGGTAAAGTATTGCTGCTCAGAGAGAGAAAAGAAAAACGGTCAGTCCAGTGTTTTTATTCGTAATTTAATTCTTCGATCTCGTTCATTTTTTGAGTTAGACGAAATTTAAGTGCGGTTTGAGATCCGTCGGCTCAGTTTCAAGCCAACAAAATTACTGGGTATTGAATACAATCCGACATCGTTACTTATAATAAGCAGCCTCTCCTGCTCTGTCTGCAGTCACTGACTGACTGGCTAATAGTGGGGGTCAGTTGGTCTGACAGTCATCGACTCTGAAGTCGAACCCTGACTGTTTAACTTATTTATAGCAAAACAACGTAGCGTTACTGTAGTCTTCTAATATTAGTTAAAATAGTGAGATAGAGTCAGGTCAACAACCGTCTTTAAACCGACCCTAGTGTCCTTTAAATCTTCACATATGACCTTTGTTTCTTCTAATATTAGTTAAAACGGTGAGATAGAGTCAGGTCAACAACCATCTTTAAACAGCCAGAGGCCGACCCTAGTCTCCTTTAAATCTTCACATATGACCTTTGACCTTTTCCCAATAATACAACAGCATTAAAGCTAACAATGAATGTTGACAGGTTGACAGATTTCTGACTTGTGTGTCCACCAATAGAACGAGATGGATGAGACCCAGATCCAGCAGGCGGGCGATGACGTGGAGCTGCCCACGGAGCTGGCTAAGATGATAGCTGAGGACAACCAGGAGGAGGCGCACAAGCAGTCGGTGCTGGGCCAGCTGTCCAACATCCAGAATGTTGACATGGACCAGCTGAAGGACAAAGCCCAGGCCACACTGGAAGATCTGAAAAAGCAGACGGAGAACTGCAGTCTCATGTGATTTGGACTAGGTTTCCGACCCAGAAGATTAGCGTTTTTGTTTTTTTTCTTGTACAAATATTTTTCAGAGGCAGCGCTGCTCTAGAGTTAGAAATGTTCTCGTTGCTTCGGTGGAATGTCAGTTGGCAGAGCCACATAATAACAGTTTTCCTAGCTGTGCAGAGTTGGACGGGCGCCCTGTGGTCAGCCAAAATGGCTGCTAGTTTGAAATCATACTACGACCGGAGAGGAGGTGGAACCCTGGTGTAGTTCTTGGTGCGATAGCTTTTGTGGATTTCCATGCTGAGCTTAAGAAAGTCGGAACTCACACACACTTTGGCACACTGTTATTATTATGACAACTTGCATTGATTTTTACCAACAAGATTATTCCTGTAATCAGAACAAAAACAGATTTTTTTATGTTTAAAACCCCTGTCTGAACCTGACGTGACCGCTGATTACTCAGTATAATCCTGCAGCTCGGCTCTCAGGTACACAGTGTGTGTGTGTGTGGGAGGGCTTCACTTACAAACATGAAAACGAAGCAGCTTCTTTATCATAGTAGAAACTAAACATCTGCTGCCTGGTCGGAGCCAGTCTGCGTGTTCTTCAAAGGCCCACGTGACTTTATTTCTGTGGTACAGAGAGAGAGTGTAGGGTTAAAATGGACAAACTGTAGCCGCCGAGCCCTTCAGCACCGACACACCTCCCACACGCAGATGCTGCCTGGAGAATAACACCGCCTGCGTTTAAGTGTCATGTGTGTCTGGATTATTTCAGCGTAGAATTAAAATAACGCAGCCATTGGTGTGGTTGTTCACCTTTAACTGAAAAAGCACAAAATCCTAAATAAAGGCAATATTCATTTAGAGAAATACACCAGGCTGGTTGTTGTCAGAAGTAGCTCACCGCTGTTACAAGCTAAACTTGGGTTTAATGGGTTCTACTAAAAACAAAAAAACGACTTCAAATTTTTAGCACGTTGACCTCCATCAAGACTATTTTTTAAACTTATTTTCCTGTCAGGATTTGTGAGCTCATTTCCACAAACACGAGCCTTTTTGGAGTTGAATTTGATGAGACGTAGATAGATATAAGTACAGAGATGCCTTACAGTGACTGTGTTGTGATTAAAAAGTGTGTACAGTCACCGTTTAACTCAGCATCTGACGCTAACGACTAACATCTGTCTCGACCCGTTTAGACTCATCAACATTTTTTTTTAGCTTTCCATTTAGTGTGAGCGAAGTGTCAACGTTCCAGAAGTCGTGTGCCAAAGAAAACGGCGTAAACGTGTCACGTGTGTTCGTTAAAAAACACCTATACAAACATGTATGTTTCGTGAGATGAAAATGTGTTTCCCACTTCAGTAAAACCAGAGTCTCGTGTTGTTGTTGTTGTTGACCTGACCTCCTGACCCTGACCCTGACCTCTGCGTCTTTGTGGTGCAGTTTTGTGACGATGGATTTTTGTGTTGTGTCTGGAAATGTGATACTGTACGTCCATTAATGTCTGTCCAAATATTCTGAGGTTTGGACTGGACGAATCTATGGAGGCGTGGCCTAAAAGACCTGATGTCGTCCATGTCGACTCACGTTAGTGTTGGTTTATGTTCGTTAGGTAGCAGCAGTGTGAAAAAAAAGATGAAACCAACAAGGTTCATGTTATTTTCAGTGATTATTCCGACGTCCTAGATGAACTGTATATTTGTATGACGTTCCATTAATATAAAGCAGAGGGAAAGGTGCAATAATAAGTCGTTTGTCTGTGACGGTAAATGTAGTTAAATATCAATGGGTGGAAACAGAAGCCATAAAGAATACTGTTCTATAATATAATAATGATTATATCAATGCTTCTGCTGACGTTCTGTGCTCATGTTTTTTTTCCTTCTCTCTCTTGAGGAAGTGCTGGTCGTTACATGCTAACCTTCCTGTGCTGTTGTGTGTCTGTGAGTTTCATTAATTCTGGCAGGTTTTGTCGGCAATAAAATAATTTTTAGAAAAAAAAAACAAACACCCGTCAGCGCTGTGACTGTATGTTGCCATTGACCAGCACTCTTCTGTTTTCTTTAGACTGCAGGCGCTTGAACAGCAGGGGGCGACAAAACACACAGTAAAATACTCTCATTCACCAGGAAGGCAGAAGGTAAATGCTGCAAAACTGTTCATTGAAAAGTCAACATGACAACTGTAACAGTTGACAGACAGTTGAAAAGACAACTGTAAATGGTGTCAAATGGTGTTGGCACTCAGGTGTAAACAGACACACTGGGTTGGATTTCACTGTTAGGACTACAACATGTCTCTACAGCAGGGTGTCAAACTCATTTTCACCAGGGGAGGGGCACATCAACAGCTCACTTCCTGTTAAAGGCCAGTTGTAAATAGAAGACTGTGTAGATGTAACTGCTCCATAACTTATTATTATTTATTCAATTTACCAACATTGTTCATTGCTGTGTAATAAAAAAAGCAGTTAATTTCTCAGGTTAAGAAACGACCACATGGGAGATCTTAATAAATGCTTTTTAAGCTCCTGCTGGCCATACAAAATGACTTGGCGAGCCGCATTTGGCCCCCGGGCCTTGAGTTGTGGTCTACAGGAAACTTGTGTTTATAAATATTTACTTTTGTCACATTGTAGTTGTATTTAAGTAGCATTGGAGCCTAAAAATAAATGCCAACTACTCATTAATGAATACATTTGAATTTACATTAATGCAGTGGTTTTCAACCATAGGGCCCAGACCCAAACTGGGGCTGTGAGCGCTACTTTAAGGGCCAACATTTTTTAGTTTTGCACCTGTGGACTGCAGGCGTCGTGTTACTGCAGAGGTTATCAACTGAAGACAGTATGTTATCAATGAGTAGCTCTGTTACAATATAGGTGTTGACCACACGGTGACGCTAATGCACCAGTCAGTTCTTTAACGAACTCTGAGAAAAAGTATAAAGTTTTTAAAAACAAAAAAATAAAAATAAAATGTTTGTAGGTACAATCGGGCTGGATCAACTACAGCTTTTTTTGTACTGTACTTGGATCTGGTTAATATAAAATAATATTTAAAAATTAAATATAAAATGTGAGTCAGGTCAATAGTTAATGGACCCCGGGCCTCAAAGTCAAAAAGTTTAAGAACTTAAGTGTAATAACTTCTGGTAGTTTGTTTCTCTGTGAGCCTTGACACTCACAACAGAGAAGGTGAAGATGACATGGTCCACCAGGTGGCAGCATTACAATTACAGGATGCCATAAACACTTAACAAAGTTGAAGAAGAATCAATAGGGCTGTCTGTCCTGATTGCCTGCTAATGGCGCCCAGTTGCTGCTATGCTAACCTTTATATCGCTACACCTGCTGTGCTTAAACAGGTAGATAAGGAATTAAAGCTGTTTTTATTTTATTTTATTTTTATTTTTTAATGGTTCCTTCTGAAGAGTCCTCGAACAGACACAACTGAGAGAAACTGAGAGGTACGTTTATGAAACTGTTTCTTTGGATTCATACAGGGACCATAAACAAAAAACACTATTGGCTGAAATTACTTTCCAATTGTTTATGGTCCACAGTCATGGACAGAAGACATGTTGTGCGTCCATGTGTCCGTCTCCTTGGTGGTCAAACTGGCACAGTCTGTGGTGGTTTAGGCTGAGGGTGAGGATATTTTGAAGAGGGGAAAAAAAAAGAAAGTTCGTTACCATTTCAATGGTGGGCAAGACTGAGCTATTGGTAGTTTTCAAGTGTCGTGTGAAAGGAATGGCTGTAAATATATTGATGCCGAGACCCGGCTCCATTCGTAGGCCGCAGGGCGTGAACAATCCGCGGGCTGCACAGACTCTGGGCCACGGCGGGCACAGGCTGACACAATGGGGTGAAACGGGCCAGAAAATACCATTCTCTCCTTTTCTCTGCCGCCAACGGGGGCTCGAAACTGGAAGAGGGAGGGAGAGAGGGGGAGGAAGAGGGAAGGGGGGTGAGGAAGAAAGTGTGTGTGACACTTTCTCTCTCTCTCTCTCTTACCAGCAGTTTATAACTAAAAAGAAACAGATTTGTTTTTCCGCGACTGGAAATCGGAGCAGTGAAGTTACAGATGTGAATTTTCTTCTTTTTTTTTTGCTGAGGAATGCGTTTTGTAAGTACCCCTCCTCTAACTCCCTCCTCCCCGACGCCACATCCCCCTTTTCAGTTATGTTTTGGGGGGGCTGCCGTGGCCAGATCCCGGGATGTCATCAAGCACTGATGATAATTGAAAACTTTTTTTTTCTTCTCCTCTTTTTCTCCGTGTGGGCGTTAGTGTCGACCTGCTCGTATTTTAAGGACAGGATGGCAGATTTGCGCGCAGAGCCGCCGCCGCCGCCGGGTCCCACGGCTGCCTCCACGATGACCAATCGGTGGACAGGGTTGTAAATGAGAGGAGAGGGGAAGAGGGGGAGGAAAAACTTTTTTTTTTCAACAAGAGGAGGGGTGTTGTGGGGAAATGCTCAGCGAAGCGTGAAACGTATAACAGCGAGAAGAGAGGACAAAGGCGCACGGAGCGGGACAGACCGAACACGGGGAGAAACTTCTGCCAACTTGGAATTAAGAAAAAAAAAACACGTCGGAACGAGCGGTTAGATGTTGGAGCAGAGGAGCGGAGCCTAGAAAGAGGAGTTGAAGTGGACTTAAGGTGTTGTGGACTAAAACAACAACAACAGAAGAGTGGGTTCGAGTCTGCGCTCAGCGTGGGCACGTCGACCGGTGACATGGAGCACGGGCAGCGGGCTGCAGTGTGGAGGAAGGTCCGACTGACTGTGTGAGTTCTCATCACTCCAAATGTGCTGCTGGTGGAGGAGTGAGTCTTCTTCGCCGAACTACAACTCCATCCAAGCATGAAATGCTGGTGCGGCGCCCTGGCGCTTCTCCCCTGGATGCTGGTGGCCATAGACGGCCAGCTCATCTGCTGGCAGGCGCTCCTCCGGTGCCACGACGAGCCCGCGTGTGACCTCGCCTACGGCCAGTACTTGGCGGCCCGTGAGGGGAACCTGCGGGGGGGCCCGAGGC